TCCATGTTATCCAACCGCCTCGCATCTTTGGTCCTTGTGGTTGAATTTGGAGGAAATACCATGGTTAGTTGCTGGCAGGTCTTTGCTACGTCGCCAGCACTTTCTCATTTACCAAGAAGTGAGCTCGCTTGCTGCTAGGCAGAGTAGTACTGTTTTGTTTATTTTTGTGTCTGTTTGGAATTCACAATGGAGCCAGCTGGTTCATGGCACAGTCTTGCTGATTGCGTTTGCAGTGCATTTGTTGGAGTTGGGGAAGAAAGCATTACACAGGTGTCACAAAGGCTGGATGATCACCAAAGGTTCTTGTGAATGAGAGATGCTCACTTGAGCTGCGTTTGCTCAGAAACCCAACTGGTCCTTCAGGACACAATGCAGAATCTTCAGCTGATTCCAGTTCTTGACCACCTCTCACCACAAGCGCCAGGAAAGCAGCCACAGTAGCCAGTGGGCTGGGGTGCCCGGATCTTAGATCACTACTCGCCCAGGACACTGGGTTGCATCTGTCCGAGCCGAGATCAGTCAGGCCATAATTGTGATGACAAGAACAGGACAGAAAGTGATGACACAGCTGCGAGATATTGCCGTCACCCTGGGGTATGGCAGGGCAGAGATTTCCTTTAACTCAGAAGCTGTCTAATTTCCTCAATCTTTCTGCCAAGTTCGCTTGCTTTAGGGCTTTCTTAGCCGATGGGAGGGCATTGGGCAGTGTGTGAAGACTGTCACTTGTCACATTGGGAGTGCTAGTGGCAGCTGGTGACTTCAGAGTGCAGACTGCAGCATAGAATGACGTAACTGCACCGGTCGTGCTGATGTCACAGGTGCTGGTGTTGGTGTTTACGTCCGGCACGGCGTGGGTCAGGCGCTGCCTCATGGCAGGTGCACCAGGACCTTACTCTTTCAGTTATTATCAGTAATTGTAAATGTACATTGCAGCAGTGGATTAGCAGTTGTTTTTCCAGAAGTGTGGAGAGAAGAAAAAGCACCCTTAAGTGTAAATGTTATGTACAATATACATTCTTCTTTTAACAACATATGAATTTCCAATCACCCCTGTGTGCACACACACACACACACACACACACACACACACACACACACACAATGTATCTTGACAGTGAGGAAATATAGCACTTTTCAATGGATTCATTTCCTCCTAAGTTTACATCTTAAAAAAAAAAAAAGATTAATTTTTATTGGAAAGCCGGATGTACAGAGAGGAGGAGAGACAGAGAGAAAGATCTTCTGTCTGTTGATTCATTCCCCAGGTGGCCGCAATGGCTGGAGCTGAGCCAAACCAAAGCCAGGAACTTCTTCCGGGTCTCTCACACAGGTGCAGGATCCCAAGGCTTTGGGCGGTCCTTGACTGCTTTCCCAGGCCACAAGCAGGGAGCTGGAAGGGAAGGGGGGCCTCCAGGATTAGAACCGGTGCCCATATAGAATCCCAGTGTGTGCAAAGCGAGAACTTTAGCCGCTAGGCTACCGTGCTAGGCCCCTAACTTTACCTTTTAATAGTATCTACCATGAGATAATTTGCTTTGATTTTCATAATTTCGATCCTCATTGTATTCTTTTTAGGAAGTACGTTGGTGTGACATGTCATTACTGAAGGAGAAGACATTGTCTCAGGACACCAAAGCTTGATCCACTGCAGCCCGGCCACAGTGGCGGCACACCTGCACATTGCACATGCGCAGTCCTTTCTCTCAGGGATCTTTTGCGTCTCTTCCAAAACACTCTCCGCCCCACGATAATTCAGCATTTCTCGACTGCAGTTAAGCCTGTTCAAGGAAATAGAGGGGAGGTCTCCAGTGAGGCATTCCTAGCACTGTCTGTCTCAGCCCCTTGTAAGCCAAGCTGTGCTCTAGGCACGAGTGGAAAAGCTGTGAATATCAAAGCGAGTCCCTGTGCAGGAGCTTGCGTGCAGTGCGACAGTGGCACACTCTGTACCTGCGTGTGGTGTACATGCCGTGTTGGATACCTGCAGTGAGTCCTGCTTGGTTATAGTTAGGAGAGTTTAACCAGTGACATCAGTTACAGAGATGGCATCTTGTGCTGGGCCCGGGGCTGCGGGGCGGGCACTTCTTGCCGGATGCTGCCCGACTCGGCCACTCTCTTCTTATTACGTTTTCTGGATGCGTAGTTGGTATGTAGAGGAATATTTTCTGAGCTGTTGAGTTCTTCTGGGTTCTTGAGGAATTCAACAGCCCGTGGTTTGCGGTGATAAGCTCATGTCTGTCTGTAGCCTGTCACAGAAGTAAAGTAATTATTAGGAAGTTCGGAAGTATGGTGTCTCACAAGAGTGGTGAGCTTCCGGGTCTGAATGCTTCTCACACAGATGCCGTTATTTCATCTTCTCTGGGTTTCTCATCCGCCAGTTTCTGTAGTGTTGAGCCTTGAAGGAAGGACATTGGGTCATTTGGGACCACTTTGGATGCTGGACAAGCATTCAGGCTAAAAATCCATGGAGAAAGGGAAGAAAAGAATTGAGGAGCTCAAAAGGCAATGCACTGGGTTTGCTGTGTGCTGTGGGTGGACCATTAGTGCATCTCCCTGGGCTCTGGGCCTTTTCCCTGAGAGGAGAAGCCAGCCGCTGAGGTAGGTTATGTAAGACCATTAGCCTTCTGATTGCTTTCATGTGGTTTTTTTCTCCCTTCCTCTACGTCCTCTTGACCCCTCTGCCCCACGTTTTGTTCTTACTGCCTTGGGTATGTAGGCCATTATATAATCTTAGTGAGGACCTGGAGTAGCATTTTAGTGTATTGTAAAGCTGCTTATGAAACGGTTCCAAACAAAAAACTGGGAGGGGGGAAAGAAGATGAAAGCCTTTGGGCTGGAGGCAGCCGAGAGCTGGTGGGAGACTGGAGGTCCCGCTCCTTCGTTACCGTCTGCCTGTGTCCCGTTGTCCAGAGGAAGGGCCCAGGCCCTGAGCAAACACCGCCGAAATCTCCATGTCTGTTCTCTGTAGAGTTCTATAGTGCGTTTTGTCTTTCTGTTGCAGATTTTTTTTAAATGTTGATTTGTCTTATGGGAAGAAAGCTACACTCCCAGGCCCCTGGTTCTCTCACTGGTTTGGCTCACTGCTGAGCACGCAAGCCAGAAGCCAGAAACTCAGTCCAGAATGTGTTTTTTGCATACGTTCATGGACGGGGTAGATTTAAAAAGAATACGACAACAGTGGTTAGCGCTGAACTTCTTAGTTTCCGTGCCATGTTTAGTAGATTTTGAGATGTGCAAAAGGCCCAGGCAGCAAAGCTGGTGTCGAATTTTTCAGCAAGACATTCAGAAGCGGGAAGCATGTTTTTGCATGTTAGAATCATTAAGCTTTGTAAAAGAAAAACAGCTTCATAAATTACCATTGACATGTGTACAACTCAAAATCACAGGTTTTTAGTGGCCGTACATGTGATTTTGTGAATGTTATTTTAAAATGACAATGATTAAACGTATTTTAGTAAGTGTCCGCATATGAAAGATCTTTGTAAAGATCACTGAAAATGTGGATCCTGAAAACTGCGCAAATTTCAATACTTTTTGTGCCAAAATAAACAAGTTTTTAAAAAAGATTTGTATGTTTAGTTTGAAAGGCGGAGTTACATAGCAAGCAGGAGAGACAAGCAGAGCTCTTCTGTCTGCTGGTTCTCTCCCGATGCCTGTAACGGTCAGTGTTGTGCCAGGTCAAAGCCAGGAGCCAGAACTTTCTTCCAGTTCTTCCATATGAGTGACAGGGATCATATTCTGCTGCTTTTCCTAGGCCTTTAGCATGGAGCAGCCAGGACTCTGTGATGCCAATGTTACAGGTAGTGGCTTAATACGCTGTGCCGTGACACTGACCCCAAAGTTAACTTAAAACAATTTTTTAAGGTTTTAATTATTTGAATGACAGAACTGGAGAGACAGAGAGAGAGAGAGAAGGAGGGAGATCTTCCATCTAGTGGCTCATTTCCCAAATGGTTACAATGTCTAAGGTTCAGCCAGACTGAAGGCAGGAGCCAGGAGCTTCTTCTGGGTTTCCCACATAGGTGCAGGGGCCAAAGCACTGGGGCCCTAGTCCACTGCTTTCCAAGATGCACTGGCAGGGAGCTAGGTTGGAATTGGAAGAGCTGGGGCTAAAGTAGGCACCCATATGGGGTGCTGGCATCACAAGCAGCCAGCTATGCTATGGTACTTGTCCCATCATAGTTGTTGTTTGTTTGCTGTTTTTTGTTGTCTGTAGCTCTTAGCTGCTTGAATTCTTCACACCAAGTGGAAGCTGAAGTAGGATTTGGTCTGTGATGCTGGAAATGAGAGCATCCTTAAAGCCACCACCAGTGAGGAAGGCTAGACTCAGAGAAGCGTGGAGGCTTCCTTCCGCCTCTCAGCGGCCCGGGCTGCCCTCTGACGTGGAGTTCTGCGTGGCAGCAGGCACTGCACCTACACACGGGCCTCTGCGCCATGCACACGAGGCTGGCTATCCAGAGCTGGCTTGGTTTTATTTTTAGGATTTTGTATTTTTATTTTTATTTGTTCATTTATTAGGAAGAGAGCGCGAGTCAGAGAGAGAAAGCTCTCCTTTCCACGGAGAAACCCCAAGCTGTGACAGGGACCTACAGTCCTGGACCACATCTGCTGCCTCCTGGGGTGTGCATCGGAAGGAAACTCGAATCTGAATCCAAACCAGGCACTCTGATGTGGGTGTGAGGAGACCCCAGGTGCATGTTCACTGCCACCTCAGATGCCTGCTTTTAAAATTAGTCTTCTCCTTGGATTTGTGAATTGCAAGTAAGAATAGCAACTCACAGTCTGCTCATATTAGAGTGAATGGGTTCCCTGCCCATGTTAGTAACAATTTACTGGACACTCTGACCATTTTGATTGCAGTTAACTTTGTCCAGTAGATGCGAGCCTCCAGTCCTAATGTAAAATATAGCCAAAGGGATCAGCCTCTGGTGGATGCCGGGTTCTTTGTGCCTCGAATGTCTGGGAGCTGGGTTTTCAGACACCTCTTGTTTTTGCTTCCACAGGATGTGTGAGACTGGCGAAGGGCTGTTTATCTTTCAGACGCGAGACGGAGAGGCCATCTATCAGAAAGTCCACTCTGCTGCCCTGGCTATCGCTGAGCAGCATGAGCGCTTGCTACAGAGCGTGAAAAATTCAATGGTAGGTTTGGGATTTCTTCCTTATGATCCGGAGTATGCCACTGTGGAATGCAATCTGGGAAATTTGGGCTGGAATATGGCCGGCATTATTTGAGCACATGGTTTACTCTTATACTCAGTCATGTATTCTTTGTATTCAGTTCCATCCATGAAATTCCAGAGGGACCAGTTGCTAACAGTATAAGCATGTATGTATCCCTGACCCTTTGTTTATGCATTTTTGTGATTTGAACATGCATGCATGTCCACATCAAGTTATTTTGGTGTACGGATATCAGTAGACATAACTGTGTATCACGTGCCTGTGGGGGTGTATTTGTAGCTGTATCAGAAATAATAGAGACAATAAGCTCAAGTACCAAGAGTCCAGAGTGAAAGCAGAAATGAGAGGGTGGAGAAATGAGAGGGCGGGGGGGGGGGGTGTTGCTGACAAGCACACTCAAATGAAACGCCTGAGACAAGTGTTGACACGATATTACGAGCTCCAAACAGGTCGATCTCTGGACTTTTCAAGGGAAACTGATTGTGTGTGTGTGTGTGTGTGTGTGTGTGTGTGTGTGTGTGTATGTGTATACTTGAAAAAGTCCTCAGGAAAGTGGAGTTAAGATGGTGGGCCTTTGTCCTAGTGTTTGACATCTGTCCTAGTGTTTACCCCATCTGATGTGTCCGGGTTCAAGTCCAGGCTCCTGTCTCCATTCCAGCAGAGTCCTGCAGACTCCGGGCAAAAAGTCTGATGACTCAGTGCTTGGGGTTCTGCAATCCACATGGGAATCTGCACTTAGTTCCTGACCTGGTTTCAACCTGGCCCAGGCTCAACTGTTGTGGTCGTTTAGAGAGTCAACCACTGCATGAGAGCATTTCTCTCTCTCTCTCTCTCTCTCCTATCTCTGAGTTTCTCAAATAACAAAAAATTTTTAAATTCAAAAGTAGAAATGGGGATCCATCCATAGTTTTTTCCCCAGAAATACCCATTTCTGTGAATTTCTTGAAAACCAGTGTATGTCTGAATTTTTGTTTGCACCAAAATAAATTTATCTCTTAATGCCATTTCCACTAACTTTTTGAAGTATGGGTATGTGTCTCTGTGTAATATTTTCTAGTTGGTAACAGTTGGAAATTAATTCCAATTAAAAACATGACACTTTGTAGGACAACAAGAACCAATTTGCCTGCCACACAGAGCCATGCATGTACTGCCTTGGGTTGATAAACAGTCATCATGGATGTGTTGATGTGCAAGATGCTTTAGCCCACCCCCGGAGCACCTCTTCTTGAATTGGATTGTGCTATGGACTGTCCAAAGAGTTATACTTCAGAAGTTTCTTCAAGTAGAATGAATCCATTAAACTTTAAATATGAAAGAAGCAAATTCCACATATGTGGTTGGAAACAGCTTCACGGAGCTGCGCACCTGGGAGGAACCGGGTTTTTCCTGGTAGAATGTGGGTAGTTTGAAACTTTATGATTTAACCTGTGGGTTGGCTGGATTGAAGGAGCAGGGAAGCATGCAGGGCAGCCTGGTCCAAGGCAGCCCCGGTTGAGGCCTCGTGTGCCCTGCCTTCTGGGTGTCGGAGCCAAGGTCAGGAAATGCACCGTGAAGGACCAGATGGTAAATGCTTTCATCAGTGTGCAGTAATGTGGGCCCTGTTGGAACCACTAAAGGCCATTGCAGCACAAAAGCAGCTGGAGCAGCCGTGGCAAACATGTCCAGATGGGCACAGCTGTGCTCTGAACACACGTGGATGAGTAGAAACCAAAATCTTGACACTTTTCCTCTTATCCCGAGGTTTTAATTTTTCCTTCTTATTTAGAAATACTTTTATTCTTTTTCACATTTTACCTTTGCTATGGGTCCTGGAAATTAGGCACAGTCTGGGCTGAGTGTTGGAATAGAACAAATGCTTGCCATGTGCCAGAAGTGGCTTACATGTTCACACCTGCTGACAGAGGCCTGACTGCCAAAGTGGCCGAGAAAGGTTTGCAATGCAGTCCTGGGCTATGGTCAGGGGTTGTAATGGCAAACTAGTAGGCATATACAAACTGTGCAGCATTCATAGAAGACTGGAATTAAGTAAAATTAGAATTTATTTTAGTGCAAAAAGTTTAATACACATTTCCTGCAAACTATGAAAAAAATAATTTTGCACCAAAATAGTTTTGATACATCGGTGCACTTCTACTTTTTATTCCATTTTTTCTGTGAACATCTTGAATTACTCTATCATCTGCAAAGCTGATCAGGATGCAGGATGCCCAGGTCCATGGTTAAACCTTAGTTTGGGTGTGTCTGAGAGCGCAATTGGGGCTTGTATCCTTGGGCTGAATCAAGCATTTTCCCTCTCGGGGGTGCCGGGGGGGCGGGGCTCACCAAATGCCCGAATAGAATCCAAGGCAGGTGAGGGAGAGTGGCTGTCTTTGCTTGATAGTCACAAACTGGGGCATCCATCTCTGTCTGCCTTCTAGAGAGAACTCACACTTGCCTCTCTTCTGTTCTCGGGCCTTCAGCCAGTGACCATAGGACTTCTCAGCCTCCATCACTGCACTGGCCTGTTCCCTGTGGTACATGCTCCCCTGCTCTCTCTCCATCCCCATATAAATATACATGTATACTTATGTGTGCACAGGAGCGTGTGCGTGCACACACACACACTTAGAGAGAGGATAATACATTCTCCTGCTTTCTCTAAAACCCTGACTAATCTGACAGGTTGAGGAGTAGACTCAAAGCAGAGAAGGGATGGCCATCGTGTTGTATTTAGGGTCACTGCTCATGAAGCCAGAGCTCGTTCTAAGACCAACCCTGAAATGTTCAGACCTGTGGATGAGACCGAGTTCTGCCTTTCCCCAAGCTCCAGTCGTCCCCTTTGTGACGTGGGAAAGGCAGTGGTATTTGTCTCATCTTGTTCTTTTGAGCTTGAACTGAGATGCCTTTGTAATACATTCAGTCGAAAGGCCATGATAGAATAAGTTGCAGTGAAAGAAAGAAGGCAGCTCTTAGCACTGCCCTTACTAGCAGCTGAGCAGAATGTTGGGTCCAGACTGATGCCAGAAATGCTTGATGAGAATGGCCCTGTCCGGGGGTTTTCTAGCAACCAAGGGCTCCATCAAACCCATTTTCGTGTTTGCCACATTTCTTTCCCTGAGTTCCTGAGTAAAACAAACTTAAAGGCAAGATGGACTTGGGGATGACATAATTTACACATTTTAGATAATCAAAAAGCATTATACGAAATGATTGGAAACATACATTTGCTACTTTCTGGTTTCAAACGCAATCAGATTTGTTTTGAAAATTGAAGACAACACGATGGAGCCAGGACAAAGCAAATCATTCGTACACCTGTCCTACAGGAACTCAGCCGTTGCTCACACACGCAAAGTTCTTTTCTTTTTCCTTTTCTCTTTCTTTCTTTTCTGAGTCTTTGAGACAGGAGAGGACTGACAGTATGGCTGTGTACTGGTTCCCTCTCCAAGTATCCACAACAGCCAGGCTGAGGCTGCACCAACACCTGGAGCCAGAACTGCAATCCAGAGCTTCCACAGGAGACACCAGCATCTGCTTCTGCCCTGGCAGGAAGCAAAGTTGGGAGCCAAAGCAAGGGTGTAAACTCAGATAGTCTAACATGCAATGTGTATCAAAACCGTTAGGCTTCATGCCAAGCTGAAGCCAGTAGCCAGGATCTTCTTCTGGGTCTCCTATGCTAATGCAGCATCCCAAGGCATCAGCCCACCCTACCGTGCTTTCCTAGGCCATAAACAGAGACCTAGGCGGGGAGTGGAGCAACCAGGACATGAACTGGTACCCATATGGAATCCCAGTGCTTGCAAGGGGAGGATTTAGCCACTGAGCCATCGTGCGAGGCCCAGCATAAGTTCTTAAACACCGATTATTGACCCCAGGGTTATGATTAATTTTTAAGGATTTGAGTTTCCTTCCCAGTAGCCTTTTGAAAATACTTCCTTTGTAAACAACTGTAGTCTCAACGTCCATTTCCCCCAAATAATGATCAGTTCTGGATATTGATGGATAGATGAAAGGAGAGAGAGCTAGAGGAGAGAGAACTATAGAGTATTATTCAAGTCATTTAAAACTGATTGGGCCACACATGATTGCATTTGAATTGTATAGCTATCCCAGTAGGTGCCTTTCAGCAATCTAAGAAGTTTTTTCCAGGATTACCTTATTTATAAAGCCCTAATTAGCACAAATTATTTTGTGTTTGAAAGGCAGGTTCTGTATGCACATGTTTTCCCATTTACTACCTTCTCATTATTTTTGCTAAAATTAATCAACAATATGAGTAATTCGTTCAGATCATCCCTTTGCAGATTTAAGTAGAAAATAATGTCATTTGCTCTTCATTTACCGTATGCTTAACGAGTTGTGCAAAAATAGGTGTTTTTTAAGGCAACAATTTTCTCTTTTAAATGAGTAGTCTTGAAAATGGGATTTGAATCTCCAGGAAGTTAAGCCAGGGATCGTGCAAGGCTTAAAATCAATGTACTGAAACAATCCCTAACCATGGGGGGAAAGAGATACAACAGTGAAAAGAAACGTGTGAAGACAACATTGCTGGCCCAGCCTCCCTCCCTGGGTCAGCATTTTGAGTTTTCTGGCAAGGAGAGAATGGACCCACCCAGGCCTGCTGTGTCCTGGCTGCCTTGCTTCCCTGTGACCCACAATTGTCGCTGGAGAGAGATGGTGCCACTCACCTCTGGCCCACACCTCATTCCCAGGAGTGCTAATCACTGTTAACCGCTCCTGCTGTGAAACACCCCGCAACACATCTCCAGACCACAGGCTGCAGTGCTGCACCAGGGGGCCTGCAGTGCATGGATTCGCATCAGCCCTGTGACCTGGGGGGGCCAGAGCTCATCAAGTGGAAGACAGAGGGAAGGACAATTGTACTAATAGTTACAGCAGGTGGAATAATGGCTCCCCGAACAGATCTTCCAGCCTTATGTGGTCAAAGGCACTTGGCAAAAGTTTACCAAGTTAAG